AAGAGCGCGTCATTATCCTGAAGATACATAAACAATACAATAGGAGCAACAAAAACAACAGGCGAGCTACCTGCCGCTGGATTTGGCTCGGGAGGGCGCAACTATGCTCAACTATAAGCCGAACAAAGCAGCTACAATAATAATAACAACAAGAACAAGAGGTTACAGTGCAAGCGAGTGGAAAACATGTTTGCATTGTTTTTGTTTTCTATTTCTTCGCTTCTTACTTGACGTTTAATTACCAGACGGAGGCAGTTCCTTGAACTGGCCTAAAGCGTGCTGCCAGTGAAAGCTGAACAGGTAGGAGAAGAAGAAGAATCAAAGGCAACAAGATGTTCGACTATAAAAGATAGTCACAATATCGGTAAAAAGTACAAAAGAGTCGGCCAGAATGTGCATATGTCAAGTATATAGTACTTACATCACATTCCAACCTTAGCCTGAGGTGGCAGAAGTTATTTTATTTGACAGTTTGTAACTGAAGATGTACGTAAATTTAAGGAGAATATTGAGTCTGGCTAAGAGCTTAAATCCATATTGAAACTTATCTCGATTATTTCGATTAATCTCGATAACATGTTCTTCAAATAGTAGATATTTAGTGCATAATCGTGTAAGGGTAGATCTTTAAAATGAGCATGAATGATCTTAAGTCCGAATCAATTCCATGGTTAGCCTTATGAATTATTCTCATTTATTTTTAAATGTACTTGAAATTAAATATTAAATTCAATATTTAATATTTGTACATAATTAAAAAAGATTCGAAATAAAAAAATATAAGAAAAATGTCGAACCCTCTGTGATAGATAGTTTTGCAGCTATGTGATTTATTCTTCACGCTGGAGTCAACATTTCTAATATGTGTTTTTTTATGCCCTAAATAAATTGCAAATGTGTGAAAAGGGTATATTGGTTTTGTGCTAATGTATCTATCAGGTAGAAGGTTGCTTTCCCCAACCAATAAAGAATAAATTAATATATTCTTGTTCAGCATCAACATCCGATTTGATCTAGCCAAGTCTGTCTACCTATCTATCTATCTATCCTATATAACAGCCAGAGACTTAATATTTTAAAAGCAGCTTCTTCCATGGCTTGCACAGATCAAGCTTGTTTCATATGAGATGAAACAGGGTATAAAACAGTCGGGCACTCCCCACTAGAGCACTCCTGCTTGTTTTACATTAATTTGGCATAGTTGAAATAGTTGTTGAATGCATGCAAGGAAAAATGCATTCTTTGTTTTTACAAAAGTTGCAATTTACTTAAAAAAATAAAGTTCTATCGAGAATAATTGTCAGTTATATACATATATTTGTTATTTGTAATATTCAATGCAATGTCTTTTTGTTGTTTGGAAATTTTTTAAATTTGTTATGTCTGGCAATATTTGCTTTATATTTTAATTATATTCTGATTGACATGCGACGACGACCCTTCATCGCCTTGGCATAAATCACAAAAATATATCACACTTTTCTGCGGCAATGGTTGATCAGTTGCGGCTGTAATTTGGTAAACTTGAAGTTTATTGAGCAAAAAGTGCCAAGTGCATGCGGAAACTGTCAAGAGGTTGTTTGCCGAGGCACCTCTCATAAGCCCCAAAGAACGCATTTGCGGGCCACGAGGAGGTGCCACGAGGAGGAGCCACGAGGAGGAGGAGGAGGAGGAGCAGCCACAAGTGTTCATTTGTGTTAAGCTTGCAAAATTGTTTTACTTATTATTTGCCTCTGCATGCTGCACATGGCGTATGAGTGATGTTTATATGAAAATTATGCAAAATGCATGAAAAAAAAAATAGTAAATATATATGTATATAAAAGAAAAATCCCAGAAGGGCAAAAGCTGGTTCTACCACTTTCTGCTGTGCGCTGCTAAAAATATGAGCCAAGAGCTTCTCATGGATTAAGCTTGCCTGCAATTTTGCACACACTGCAACAAAGAGAAACCTGAAAAGAATCATAATAATAAAAGGTGTATAAGCAACAACAACAACGACGGGCTCAAGAGCAACAAAAATGTTTAATAAATTTTAGTAGTAAACAAGCCTTGAGCCATAAAAAAAATACACTTTAATATACTGTTTTACAGCGAGAGAGAGGAGAGTATATTAATTAAGTATGCATATTAAGGACTGATTAACAAAATATTCCCCTAAATTAAATGCTCCTCCCCCCTTTTTTTTTAAGTATTAGAAAGGAGCTTTCTTACTGAGAATAGGGTATCGCGCAGTCGTTAGCTGTTGCCTGCTGTTCTGCCACTTTTCTGGCTGGTTTCAATGAAGTTGTTTGTGGCCTGCGTGCTGCATCCGCCTAGCCAAATGTTAATGGCAGTTGCTGTTGCTATTGCTGTTGCTGTTGGTGTTGCCGTCGCGGCTGCACCAAATCTGTTGCAAACAATTCAGCCCACGGCCAGACTGGAGGCGTGGCAAGGCGTTTGCCGCTGGGCATGTCAATAAAATTGAAGTGCGTCGACTGCGAAACGTTGACGTTGACGTTGACGACGCTGATGCTGATGCTGATGTGGATGCTGATGGTATCTGGTGACTGGTGACTGGTGACGGCGTCTGGTAACGGATGTTTGCACTTTATGCATGGCACATTTGGCTTTAATGCGGCATAATCACCAAACAATTTCATTTCTCACACTCACACTCACGCTCGCAGCCGCAAACGTCATTGACATTGTCTTTTGCCTGTTTGCTGCTGTTGGCTTTTGGCTTTTCTGCGAGTGTCAACAGTTTTGCAGGCTGCACGCACAAACATGGCAAAACGCATTCGCAGAGCAATTCCCCCTACCATGTGTGTGTGTGTGTGTGTGAGTGTGTGTGTGTGTTTCGGGTCACTTAAGTTTTATGTGGCGAAACGCGTTACCAAATTGCGTTCAAATTGCGCACACAGATAACAGTTTTTCATTACGCCACATAAAAGTGTTTGCCTGCCATTGTTGTTGTTGTTGTTGTTGCTGTTGTTGTTGTTGTTGTTGCCGTGGCAAATTGCTATGCCAACACGTGCTTCACTTTGCAGCTCATGTCAGCAGACCAGAGCGACAGAGCAACAGGCGCAGCGCCTGTTCACCAGCTTGTGGCACTAAAACTGCTTTTGCCCAGCACCCCAACCCCAACCCCTCCCCCTCCCACCCACCACACAGCCACGACTGACGCGCTGCCTGAACATTACTGTACATTTCCAGTCGGCCGGCTGCGCTCAATTCTCATTCGTCAGCATTGTCACATAGTAGCTGCTGCTGCCGAGGCCCAGCACTTAACCAGCAGCCGGCTAGAGCTAGTTATAAGTTGGCTTATTTAGGGACTGGCGCCAGTTGTCATTATGGCCAGCTCGTCAGTGTCGGACAAGTTAATTTTTCAACTGCCCAAGCGGACGGACGCCCGCCCCGACGCCCGACTGATTTAAATATGTCGCGTATGATATACAAAAAAAGTGGCCGAAATGGCAATATTTTGGTATGCTAAGGCGAAGCGAGATTGATTGGCGCCCGAGTCGAGTGTCTGTTTGTGTATGCATGTGTGTGTGTGCGTGTGTGCGTGTGTGTGGCAGGGCAAAGTTGTGAGTGGCTGGCATTGTGTAGCAGGCTTTTAGGCGCTGACAATGAGCAACTTTTGTGCTTATCATGCGTGCAAGTTTCGCAGACGTTTTAATTGAAAAATACTTAGCAAACTCTTGTCCTTGTTTTCCTAGTTGTCGTAGTCATAGTCGCTGTCGCTCTCGCTGTCGTCGTCGCCGTCGTCGTCGCAGTCAAAGTCTGCCTCAAGTTCAAGAGAGTGTCAAATGGCAAACACTTCAGCTGGAGTTCGGAGTCGAGCCGCTGCCCCTGCCGCTTGAGTGCACTTAGAGCAGTGCCGGCAGAGCTATATGTAGGTGCGAAATGCACACGCATGCCATGCCAACACCTGTGCGATAGCTTTGCCCTTAGTAAATAAACCCAACTTGATTTTAATTGCTGGCTTAAGCAGCGCCAGCGCCATAGACCCGAGGGCACGACTCCGCTAAAAATGTCCCAGTAACCTATAACTTCGCCTGGCTAACACTAAATGGCTCTCTCTTTCGCTTGCTCGGCGCTCTTCAGCTTTGCTCTTAGGCGGCGTTGGTATTTTTAATTTTGCCAGGCTTATGGCAAGCTTTTAATTTACAAAAACTCCAACAATGCGCTAGTGTAAGTGAGCGTGCATTTCTACGTGTGTATGTGTGTGTGTGTGTGTGTGTGTTTTGTTAACGTGTGCTCAGGTTTGACTCCGAGTGCGGCCGTGGCCACGCATCACGTCCAGTTCATGGCTGGCTGCACGTTTCACTCTTTCTTATTACGCGCTCGTAAAAAGAAACTGCTGCACGCTGCGCTGCCCTGTCTGAGCTGCCAGAATTATTTCCATTAATTTAAGCACACACACACACACACATATATATGTGTGTGTGTATATATACTTGTGCTCTTGGACCTGTTTGTCACTGTAATAAAGTTGGCAACAAATCGGCGGGCGGCGTGTGCGTTTCTTGATCTTAATCCGTTGGCCGAGCGCTAACATTTTGACACGCACGTGTCGACAAAAAGTGTCGCATACATTTTAAAGTGATTAAAAAAGTGCCACCCACACACACACACACACACACATAGTGGGCAGCAGCGTGTGTGTGTGAGCGAGAGAGGGAGAGAAGGAGTATGCGAAAGCATTTAAATGCGCGCAACGTGCAAAATATAAATTGTTGTCAAGCTGAACGGGCCGAAACCAATTGCAAGTCAAAAGCCACAAGCAGCCGCTTATCAGCAGCCAAAACATTTGGCATTGGCACACACAGCATCCACATTCCACTCGGCATGGCATGGCATTCGTTGTGTTTCATTCCCATTTCGTTTCGTTGCGCTTTGCACGATTCGCACGTTCGTCGTCTCGTGCGTTGCGGCGCACGTTTTGGCAGCGCTTCGTTTCGGCGCTCGACGCGCCTTCGACTGCAATCAGTTCGAATATGTCTTTCGTTCGGTTCGGTTGTCTATTGTAACGGTATCTATTCGCGCTCGAAACGCGTTCGTTCCACTGGGAACAGTCAGTCTTCAAAGGTAAACAACAACAATTGAGAGCATGCAAAAACTAAATAACATTCCAAGCTCGCCCCGAGTCCCAGTGCCAGTTACCAAAATTATACAGATTCTACGTTAGTCAATACCGCTAGAAATCTCCACTAACACGACTTACGGCTAAACTTATATTAGCCGGCTTTTACAGGGCCAACTTTGCCGTTCAATTTACATTAGCAATTTGCATTGATGAACTGTGGCGCGATGCGCGGCGTGCATGATAAAAATCCAAGCATAATAATCATCGATATTCAAAGGCATTAGAATAGCAAAGCAACAATATCAACAGCAGCAGCAGCAACCGCAACCGACCTTTGAACTCGCCCAGTCCCTAACTGCGCGTATCTCTATCTCTGCGCGTCGCTGTGTGTGTGTGTGTGCGTGTGCGTGTGAGTGTAAAAGTGTGAAAAAGCGCAAAATAAATATTAAAAGCGAAACGTGCATGGATTAGAAAGCATAACCAGCAGCAGCTAAAAACAATAACAATAAGAACAACAACAACAGCAAGGATCCGGAGCAGGAGCAGGAGCAGCATCCGCAGCGCCAGTTTATTGAAACAGCTCGGAAAAGAGGTTAGTATTGGCCACGTTTAGTTGTTGTTGTTATTGTTTGGCCGTGCTTTATATTGCCTTTCGTTTAAGTTTTTCCTCGCCACCTGGCCAGCCCCCGTTTTCCATTAGAGCAACGCGCGCTGGTGCATAATTTAAGCAAAGTTTTCGGTCGCATTTGCCACAGCTTTTGGGTTCCCCTCTCGTATCTCTGCGCTGAACCTGCGGCTGCTCTGTTCTGTTCTATTTGCACTGAGTATTTTCGGCTGCGTGCATCAACATGAGGCACACCTGCCCCAGCCGCATATGCAGCAACAATCAGTTGACACCGCAGTGGCAGCCACCAGCCATCCCCCCCCCCCCCTCTCCTACTCCTGCTCCTAATCATCTTGATTTATGGCAATCGAAGGCGACTCTGGCCACACACACTGCTTGGCTACCTGCTATTTACATACTCGACTGGCTGCGCACAAATACCGCCCAGCTGGAAACTAAATAATTATATGGCATAGTCCCCATAGCGCCCAATTGCTCTGTGCCGCTTAGACAAGCATCTGGGGGGGGGGCTGAGTTTAACGAACATTTATGCTTGTGCAGTTGTTTATGCTAAGCTCGAGTTATGTGCCACTTAAGAGGCGTGGCAGCCAGCTAAGGCACATTTGCCAGCCGCACTCATACGCCATGTGGTACTCGCTCAGCGAGCAGAGGAGCAGCAGCAGCAGCAGCCGCATCCTCCTCAAGAATGAATTAAAAGTTATTTTAAATTCGTGACATTCGCCTAATTTTGCATGTCTGTTTCTGCTACTTTGCCCAAGGGCTCGGTGTCAGGCGAGAGTCGCTTGGCAGTCAGCAGCTGACACCTGCCAGACTGCCTCGCAGTTAGATTTGTGACTGTATCACACACTCGCACACACACACATATACACACGGGATAGAGTCAGTTGGAGTGAATTAAATTTCAAATGTTTCTTAATTTACTTTTTCGGTTTCGCGTTGACAGTTCAAATTGCTATAACAAATTTTCTAACGTTACGCATGCCATTCATTCATTTCACTTTGCACTTCCACACACACACACACACACACACACGCACACGCACACACACACTTGCTCACTGGGGGGCACACATGCATAAGTGAAATATTATGTACAACTGTCGAGTTTGTTTTCTCTTGCTTTTTTCGCGTGCTTTCTTTCATTTTTTTTTCTTCTTTTTTGTTGAAAATAAATGAAGCCATTCGAGCGCAATCAGAGTTTCCCATTAAAGCGTGCCACACACGCATTGGCGTTGCGAATTGATGACAGCACAACGCAATGCCATATAGGATACGCATAAAAGCAAGGACTCTGTCACGGAGAGGTAGCTCAACGCCTGTCGATGTTGTTGTTGTTGTTGTCGTTGTTGTGGCAGACACGGAAGGTAGCCGGAGAATGGCAAGCTGATTGCCACAAACGAAACACTAAATCCCAGCGATTGATTTCGCAATTGTGTGTACGGTTAAGCCATTCATTGGCAGTAATAAGTCATGTGTATGCCACTTGCCCGAAAGTCAAACCAATAAATATTAAACAAATTCTGATTTAAAACAGTTTCTTCTTCTTGTGGCACATACAGTTTGTCGAGACTCAGGTGATCCACTTGCCCACAGATCGTGAGGGCTGACTCGTTTTGACCCTGGTCTGATTTCCAGTCATCCTTGGGTTGGAAGGGAAAGGTGACTATGTTCTCTTAGGAGCCAGTATTTCTCCACTTGTTCAAATGTACACATTAAAAATTAAGGATATAAAATTATTATTATATTATATTTACTCTCACTATCTGAGGTTAAAGATATCATAGAAAGACCCTATCAAAAAATAAAATCGGGCTTATAAATCTTTGACAATATTTCTACAAGCCACAAATGTTACGCATCCACTTTAATTTGAAATTGTAAAAATTAATTTAATATACAATGGCAAACGATTTTTGGTCAATAAAATATTTGCATTACATTTTGCACAATTTATTTTATCCAAGACTTGGGCATTCCTTTACAGCAGCCATGATTTTCATTTATTTTTTTAAATTCCTGTGTCTGATCTGACCAGCTCTGACAAACACATAAGTAACCAGAAAAACAATTATGTAGTAATAAGTTTTTTAATATGGCGACAAGTGTACAATAATCGCGACAAAAAATCGAATTGACGGAGTCAGTTACATTGTCACTGCTCAAAGTCACAATCGAGATAATTATTTGTATATATCGTGGGACAAAAAAGCTTTACACATTTTTAACAAAATTAAATTGTTCGCTACAGACGTATACGAAAAATGCAGTTTCAATTTTGTATAAAAAATTAATGAAAACAGAGGAATCTGATAAAATACCATTCAAACAATAAAATCCTACGGTATGTGAATTGAATCTTTCTCGGAATGGCATTTTTTTTTCATTTTGTTTTTTTCAACGGGATTTGCATTTTAACGCAGTTGCAAAGTTTTTAGTTTTCTGTTTTTGTTTTTCGTCTCGTTTTGTTTAAGTGAGAAGCGCGTAGAGAGGCGCTTTTTGTAGTGCTGCGTTGCCACAAAGTGTAAAGTGCACATGGTGGCAACGACGTAAATTAAGTTGCTTTTCGCATAGCATACTTTGCGGCCGACACGCAAATCCTCTAGTCTGACGCACTTGAGAAGTTGGCTTAACGAGGCGAAACAAGTGGCTGCCATCAATTTGTATCTGTATCTGTATCCGTATCTGGAAATGTATCTGTAGCAGTGGCTGCTGCTGTTCAAGCCCATCTGCTGGTGAATTTGTCTATTTGCTTTTGGCGCGCAGCTCTAAAAACCGTTTACAATTTGCAGTTAACTCAGGATGCAAACAAAATTACAGCGCGCAAAGTAAATAAATGCTCGCACTTGAGAAACTTTTCTCGGAACTCGTTCGGCGCTTTTTGTCAACAGCAACCAAATTGAAATTAAATGTAGTGCAACTCAATTACAACTTATGGCAGCCACTGGGCGTGGTCCAACGCAGGCGGATGCGTGACAACAAATTTTTGCGTATTTTGTTTCCCTTTTTTTTTTTGTTTGTGCGGTTCATGTCGCCGCTTCAATTGCTGGCCCACTATGGCAACAAAATGAAATTAGTGTCAAAACGTTGCATTTTCAACGGGCTCGCCTCGGCCGCGGTCCATCCCGGGTCTATGCAACCTCCATTCGCACGGCAGCTCTTGAATTTGAGGCGACAGACAGACGCCGCGGATGACGTCGACTGATGGCCCAGTCCGTCTGGTGGGCGTAATCGTTCTGCTCGTTATCCATAGAGCCGGCGGCGTTGTCAACTACAGGATTTTCTATGTGCCGTCGTTAGTCCTGGCATTTTGCAGCTGTTGTCTTTGTTATTTTTAGGTTGCCATGGCATTTTTAGTTGATTAGGGCTATAATGCGAAAAACAACTTAAGTGATAAGCTCGGCGATTACCTGCAAACCGTTCGTGTAATTCAAGTATCCAGATATCATCTTCAGATAACTTATTTCATTGCTCTTTATATGATTATCTAAATATCTGCAGTTTTGAGTGAGAGCATAAGTTTAGTGCCTGTGGCCAATTCTTCGAGCGCATCAAGTACAGGGTATAAAAGGCGGCACTGCTGCGCCGAGTGAATGAATTTGATGAAGTGGCTGCAAAAAATAGCCGCGACAAGCTTCGGGGAGGGAGCGAATGGATGGCTGGCAAAAAAAAAAATTTATTCATTGGCTAAGGTGAAAGGCGTTGTTTTTTTGCCTTCCGCTCTTGTTTACCGTTGAGCTCTTTTTGTTTTTTGCTTGCTCTCGTTTCGGTTTTTTTTTGTGCTTGCTTTTGCTCACAATTTGAATGGGTTTTGGGCAAAGTGCATTGCCCTGCAGCCGAACGCAAGAAAAGCAGCTACCATAGTCTAGATGAACTGCATTTTGTGGGCGCGCGGTAGGTAAATGAAGTGCAGACCCGTCGGGGCCAGTCTGGGCTAGAATTGAAGTGTGGAACGTGGTCGGGCTTTGATTAACTTCCATCAGCGCTGGGGTATCTATTCAGAATTAAAATTTATTGCCAATTTGCGGCAAATTCGATTAAGCTTAAGTTCGCGAGCACAAACGCAATGCAATGCAAAGCGGACCGAAGCGGAGCGGAGCAAATTGAGGCGTAGCAAAGCAGGAAAAACACTCGGCTGGACATGAAAGTGAGCCTGGGAATTTATATCCAATAGATAAAGACAGACGGCCTAGGGGCGGGCTGGGCGGGGCAGTTGCCTCAAACTGAAAGTTGAAAAGCTGTTGAAGTTTATTGGAAAAATATTCAAATCACGTGGGTGGTCTCAGCTCATCGGCAGTCGGCAGGCAGCCCAGTGATAAAAACGGCAAAGAAATTACTTATAGATTGAATGAAATTGTCTGGGCCAAACCCAAAGACTGGCCGAATCGCTTTGCCATATTTTTGATCAATTTAAATGCCTGGCTAAGACAACGAAATCTCTAATGGCGGCGCCTAAGCCTCGGCTTTAGAGTGCAGGCCCTTGGCGCTCGAATCTGGTATATAGTATATATGTATATATTTAGCTAAGCCAAGTAATTAAAATCACAGTCTGTCTGCCAATGCGAATGGCTAAATGATGAGCTTGAACACGAGCCGCACCCAGCTCGAAAAACTTATCTAATAAGTGTCAGTCGGGCCGTAACAGCAGGCGCAACAGCGACAAGGCCTAAACGGCCAATATGGCCAATATACTCGATATTAACGTGCTGCGGTTGACCTGGCAACTTGTTTGACCAAGAAAGTTTCACTTTCACAGGGAAAGGAGCAACTCCCATCATATCACGTTCGGGAGGCGTTGAAAAATCAATGCCTGTAAATCGCTTGACGTCTGTTCGGGCTTGTTTATGGCCAAGCGATTTATGCGCCGCATATTTATTTATGAACAACAATTTGCCGGCTACTTTAAGGCCACGTTAATGCGCCGACACCAAAAGGGCCGAGACTCCTACTGAGCGGAGGCGCAGTCGTAA